TATAATAAAAAATTAAATTAAAGAAATTACACAAATAAATGAGAAATTGTATATATTTTTAAAAAAATTTATGATATTTTAAAATTTATATTTTATTGAAAAAAAAACATTATTGTTTGTTCAAAACCACATAAATTTGTAATATAACATCAACAGAGACCAAAAAAATAAAATGAAACATTGAGATAGATATATATTTTGCTGCATTACGTGAGTACCTTCTAATTATAAGTAAAATATCTATCAATTATCTTTTTTTTAAGTTAAAAAGTAATAAGGTGAAAATCGTGAAGAAAACATTTCAATAATTTTTAAATATGAGATCTTGCCATTTATATGTTTAAGTATTTTCATAAAAATGCATTTTTTGTAAGTTTATCAAATGGTATACAAGAATGATGGAAATCAGGCATTAAATATTGCACATAATTAATATATAATATAATATTAAGTTATTTAAAATATAACATAACTTTAGTTGTTGATCTACAGACAAAATAGACAACTCGTTTTAGTTGTGAACCGTTTTTTATAGCGCATGGATTATATTATATATAAAAAAACATAATATAGAAAGCGAGAAAAATCGTGTGAGAATAAGAGTTAAGGTAAAACAAATATAAGAATGGATCTGGATCTTTGATCACTTTTAATCTCACTCTCATCCCATGAATTGTGTTTGTCACGGGAATTGATCTGACGCATGTCGGTGCACCGTGTTAGTGTTGATTTTCAATTATGATTTATCTAATAGTGATGATCTTTTTTTATTGCTTCTCATCATAACTTCCATTTTCATTGAAATCCAGTTCAATACACACACACACACACATAATTTAAGGTTTAGTTTTTAAGTTTTCCTTTTATATCTATTTAAATCCTAGGACTCAAACATAATTATCATTTATCACTCAAATTTTATATAAAAGTAGCCCCGCACTTTACAAAATAAGGTGTCCTCATGCCATAACATGTTGTAATGCGCTATAATGCGTTACAGTGCAAATCAAGCCTTAGAGTAGAGTCATTGGGGTTAACGAGACGACAAACCCAAGTCTTGACGCCATAACACGTCATTACAAGACCATAACGAGTTATTTAAAACCATGATTATTATTCACAAATATCTCAAAATAAAAACATATTTATCAAGCAAGTACCGTCAATAAATAATTAATTTATCTGCTTAAAATAAATGTTTACATTACTATTTCAGTTTATTTTGTAACAAATGTCCACTTTCAACAGTAAATGTCTATTTTATCATTTTATCCTTAATTACAGAGTGGAGAAAATTTCTCTTTCTATAATTAAAAGTAAAGTTGTTCTTTTGTAAATTATAAAGTCTAATAATTACACATTTCTAAAATTACGTGTCTTTTTCGTTATGAACATTTACTTTGAAACTGATGAATTACTAAATTAAAACACTTAATAAAAATACACACACATGGTTGCAATAAACCACCGTAGAATTATCATCTAAATAACATAACCCGCTTTAATTTGGTTATTTGACTCGTCTTCAACTGATATCCATCTTAAAAACTGTACTGCATCAGAGCAGCGAACGTCGAAATTTAGTGTTTTTCAGTGAACAGAATGATTGAGATATGATTAAAAAAATAATTACATGGTAATTAGAGTACTAATTAATATAAAGTTAAAATTCATAAGGAATAATTTCAGGTTTTAGGTGAGTTGTTATATATATATATATATATATATATTAATTCCCATATATTCCTCTGTTTTTTATTCAAAGTTTGGTCTTTATTTTGTCTAAACATAGTTTGGATTCTTCTTCTAGCCAACGTTAAGTAAAGGGTTAACTCTCCTTTTCTAATATTCAAATAAATATTAACGTTACTCTCACCATAACTTATATAAGGGTCTCAATTATTTTTTCAATTAACCTGGACATCCAACCCGCTATGCGAGCTGACTAATCTCAAGACGACCACCTGCTTTGCAAATAGCTCGGAGTCACCGCATTTGAACATCCGTGGCCACAAGGACATTTTTATTTCTTCTTGTATTTGAATCTGGGACCTCCTGGTATTTTTGACATTTGGAGCCAAGCTCAAACCAATCAGACACGATCCTTGTGGTTTAAGGGTCTCAAATTTTCACATATATTATCAGGGAAACCAATCAATTAAAATATTTATGAGAATGATTATTGTGACGTTATATTATAGAGTTCATTTATTATAATCAAATGTTTTAAATTAAAAACGATCGAAATATTTATAAAATCATATAGTCATTAGATTAGATAAACGGTTGAGATTGATTTGTATAAATTAAACAGTTTGCAAATAATTTGGACCCGAAAAGTTGCAATACGATTTTATGAAATTATAATGTTTTTTTTATTTATGACGTGATAAATGGTATTTTAAGTTTTAATTTTAATTTAATTTGGATTGACCAAGTCGTGTAGAAAAAGGTTGGTTGGAAAGGATAAGTTGAATGGAAATTACACGAGACCTTCTAGATGGAGTCTATTTCACGCTCTCTAACTCTTCATTTATACATCACCATAATCATAATGTTTTTTTTTTTTAATTAAGAAGGTGTTTCAGATTATTTATTTAAAATAATTTATGTTTTTATATAAAAACACTTATTAATTTATTATGAGTCAGAAGGATTTAACTTCTTTAAAAAAAATTTATTACTAGTTTGGCACCGGTATAAGTTATTTATCCAAATACTTAAAAATATTTATTACCGATGGCACACCAAAATAAGTCAATAAGTTGTTTTAAAAAGCAATCCCAAACACCCCTAAAATTTTAAAACATTTTTTAAATAAAATCTACAGAATTATTGTAAATAAAATGAGTAAAATGTGATGATTAATTAAAGGAAAATAATGCTAAAAAGAAATGGACAAATATAGAATTATAATCAAATTTATCATTATGTTTAATGTATATTTTTTCTTTCCATAATCATACATGTTTATAAGCTTAATTACTACTGAAATTAGCAGATTTAAACATTTATTCAGATCTTTTTTTCTTGTAAAGGCCATTAATTATGATTATTAGGGATGACGATAGATGTAAATATTTGGTACAGACTTTAGGTTTGATTTATAGAAAACTGTGAGCGAAGAGAAATCAACTGATGGAATGAATGGTAAGAAGCTGAGTTCATGTGATGAAAACAAGGGTTCGATGGTTAAAGATGAAATAAATAGAAGGAAAAAAGAACAAGTTATTTGACAATTTATATAATACAACAAGATCATCGATATATAGCGATAAGGAAGAAGCAAAGGTCAATTACATGAAATTCTTATCGTTGACATTGTGACGAATGTACAACTACTATCAATTATGAAAATATTTGGATTCTTCGGCTTTTAGTCAAGATCCAACAGTCTTTGATTTTGGAAAATTTTATACTGATTTTTATTCAATAAACTAATTTATTTGATATTTTGTGGCATAATTTCGATCATACATTTGACATTTTATATAAAAAAAAAAGAATAATTTCCATTTCCAATGTTTATCAATGATCTTTAAAGTGATGATTTCATGAGCGAATGTTTTATCATGTATATGTAATTTGAAACGTTATTCAATGATTTTTTTTAAAACGCGTGTTATAATTTATTACTAATAAAATTTAAAGGATTGATTAGGATTTAAGACAAAAATTTGATATTTAACCTTTATTTATTTATCCATATTTATTGAATGTGACAACTTGTCTCACACTGATGCAAACTTGTAAACTCATTTAAGTGGAGTGGAGTTGTGACAACCCGTAGTTTTACACGGAAATCACGTGTAAAACTACATGTGGTTCACCAACTTTGGTCGCAACATTTTGTTCCAGGTCACGTTGTCCGCACACCCTTATGTTGACCGCTAGTGTACAATCACATGTAATCTTAC